TTAGTGAACATCCCAGGTTTGGGGCAGGATGACCCGGAGGCCAAGGGCCCCAGCTCTGGCCCAAAGGGCAGCCTCAGCCTTGATCGTGGCAATCAGGGAGGTGACCAAAGGGCGGTCTCCCTCGAAAACGCAGCCATTGCGATGTTTCCAGATCATCCATGGCACGAGCAGAGTGGCGGAGGCGAGGCCTTTGTGCATCGGCTTGGGCGCATTCCGTTTAGCCAAGCGCCACCAGTCGTGAAGCGAGGCGTCGTTGTTGGGTGGCGGACACGGGAGGCGCAGCCACGAGAGGATCTCATGCCACACCTGACGAGCGAAGGGGCATCCGAGGAGAAGGTGGTGCAGTGTCTCTGGGGCCTGATCGCAGAGCGGACAGCAGGGTGGGTGAGGCAGGTTACGGTGCGCTAGGCGGTCGGCAGTCCAGCAGCGGTCGAGGCTCGCAAGCCAGTGGAAGAAGCGCACCCGTGGTGGCGCCCAGCACTTCCAGGTAAGCCTCCAGGCCTGGCAGTGGGCGGAACCGTGAAAGGTGGCGAGGTAGGCCGACTTGGCTGAGTACGCGCCATCCTCGGTCCACTTCCAGCGGAGGCGGTCCGGCGTGGAGATTGGTTTGGGCAATCAGGCGCCAGAGGCAGAGGTATTCACCAATCTCCAGGATGCCAACCGTGCCCTGTATGTCGGTAGCCCATTGGTTTGCGTGGAGGCCGTCGGCGACGGTTCTGGACTTGCGGCGTCGTTTGGGGATGCAAGCGTAGAGGAGAGGCGCGATCTCGCTAACGGCGCGGCCATTGATCCAACGGTCCTCCCAAAAGAGGGCGCGCAGCCCGTTCCCGATCGTCATGGTGGTGGACGCGAAGAAGAAAGCTCGCTCCTCGTGCGAGAACTGCAGGTCGAGGCCGTGCCAAGCCCTCTCATCGACGTCGCGGTTGAGCCAAAGCCAGCGGGTGCGCAGGGCGAGACCGGTGCGCTCGAGGTCGTGCACGCCAAGGCCACCGAGCTGGATAGGGCGACATACGCGCCGCCAGTTGACATGGCAGTTGCCACCGTTGGCATCGGCGCGGCCAGCCCAAAGGAAACCTCGCTCGATCTTCTCGAGTAGCTTGAGGGTCTTTTTTGGCGGCGCAAGCACGAGGAGCTGGTGGATGGGGATAGCGCTCAGGACGGCCTTGACAAGGGCCAGCCGGCCAGCCTTGTTCATGAGCCAGGCTTTCCAGGAGGGAAGCCGCCTGGCCACCTTGTCGACGACGGGCTGCAACTGGGCGGTGGTGGGGCGACGCAGCGTGAGAGGGATGCCCAAGTACGTGATCGGGAAGTCGACGATGGGGCACCCCAGGCGCTCGGTGACAAGGGCAGCTTCATCGGTGCCGCCTCGGATGAGGGCCGCGGCACTCTTCTGATAGTTGACCTGGAGCCCCGGTGCGCGCCCAAAAAGGCGCAAGATCTCCTTTACCGCCGTGATGTCGCCTGGCGTGGGGTGGCAAAAGAGGATCACATCATCCGCGTACAGGGAGATGGCGGTATGGCGCGGCGGGGATGGAGTGGTTGCATGACTCGGAGCTCGATGGCGTGGTGGAAGAGCCTCCCCAACGTGTCAACAGCCAAGACGAAGAGCTGTGGGGACACGGGGTCGCCTTGACGCAGCCCACACCTATGCCAGATCGGAGGTTCAGGGGGGCCGTTGAGGAGGACTTTAGTGCTGGCCGACGACAGAAGGAGGGCGATCCAGTCGAGGAAGCGATTGCCGAAGCCGTGGCATCGCAGAACATCGAACAGGAACGGCCAGGAGATGGAGTCGAAGGCGCGCGCCAGGTCAAGCTTCAGAAGCACGCGTGGGGCGCCAAGCTGGTGCAGAAGCCGCGCGGATTGACGCACCAGGGTGAAGTTGTCGTGAAGGCTTTGGCCAGGGATGAAGGCATTCTGGACTTTGCTGACGAGGCTATTGAGCTTGGGCGCGAGGCGGAGTGACAGCAGCTTGGCGAGGACCTTGGCGACAAGATGAATCAAACTTATGGGTCTGTAGTCCCCAAGGCCGCTTGCATCCGCGCGCTTGGGAAGAAGAGTGATAAGCGCCTGGTTGAGGCAGCTGAAACCGCGGCCGCGGAGCGCATACACTTGCTCGAAGATCTTCAAGAGGTCCTGCTTGATGATGGGCCAGCAAGAACGGAGGAATTCCGCTGTGAATCCGTCGGGGCCAGGCGCTTTGCGCGACGGCAAGTGCTTGATGGCCTGCCAGACCTCGTCCTCGCTGAAGGGCGCGTCAAGATCATCCAGGCAAGATGGCACGATGAGCTGCGAAAGGTCGATGGTGCAGTCCCGTGGCACGTCAGTCCCAATCAGAGCATCAAAGTGCGCAAAGGTCGCCGCGGCCATGTCGCAAGGGTCGGTGAGGACAGCGCCATCGACCGATAGGGAATGGATCCAGTTCTTCTGCTTGCGGAAGGAGCACTGGCGATGGAAGAACGAAGTGTTCGCGTCACCATCTTTAAGGGACGCGATGCGCGCGCGCTGGCGGGCGATGGTTCGCTCGAGGGAGACGAGGCCCAGGTAGGAGAGCTTGAGCTGGCGACGCAACCAGTCCTCATGCGGCGACAGCAGCCTATGTTCCAGCGCAGAGTCAAAGCGTAGGAGCAGCTCACGGGAGATCGCGAGCTGGTCACGCACGTTGCCAACCGAGCGCGCGCTCCAGCTTGTGAGTTTGCGCGCGGTGGCCTGCATGCGTCGCATGAAGCACCGAAAAGGATCAGCGTCCTCCACCGAGTTCCATGGGCTGGCGACAATCTCCTGGAAGCCGGCGAGGCGCGTCCAGAACTCCTCGAAGCGGAAGCGTCGATGCACCGAGTGCATGGGCGAGCAGTCCAGCAAGAGGGGGGCGTGGTCAGAGACGACCGTGGCCAAACAGCGCAGGTGACACTCACCATGCATTTCCTCCCAGTCCGCGGAGCACATCACCTGATCAAGATGGACCAGGGTAGGCCCAGGGTAGGCGGGTTCTGCTCATTGGACCAAGTATAGCGCCGGCCGTTGAGATAAATCTCCTTGAGCACGAGGTCGTTGAGAACACGCCGGAAACGACCCATCATACGTCGGTTGAGGTTGCCGTTGTTCTTGTCTTCATCCCGATAGATGAGATTGAAGTCGCCGCAGATAAGCCAAGGCCCGGGGCACGTAGCACGCACATCGCGGATTTCGTGGAGGAACGCGATCTTTCCCAGGTCACCTTGGGGTCCGTAGACAATGGTGAGCCACCAGGGCACGCTGAAGCCATCGGTGGTCGCGACCCGGGCCGAGAGAGTGTTGGTGGTGAACATCGGGTTCGTGATGGACACGGCCCGGCTCTTCCAAGCCAACAGAATCCCACCACGAGTGCCGATCGCAGGGAGGTAAACGTACTCATCAAACTCGGAGCCCAACGTCTCGAGGACAGTCGACGAGTAGATGAACTCCATCTTAGTTTCCTGGAAGCAAGCGATCGAAGCGCTGGAGGTTACAATAAGCGAGCGGATGGCGGTGCGCCTTGCGCGAAAGTTTAAGCCGCGGACGTTCCAGTTGATGATGCGGAGGTCGTGATCCATTGAACAGAAGTCGACGGATGGGCACGCAGCAGTGCGGCTATGTTGCGATCGGGCTGCCAGCAATCACCGTGGTGATAGGCGCTGTGGAAGGATCAGAGGGCAGCTCGCGGCCGATTAGCGCGGCGATGGCCTCCAGGACGGTGTGTGGGAGAGGCGCGGCGAAAAACCCCTCGTAGGCCTTCATGGCTTCAGCAGAGATCACCTGGTCAATGCCGATGATGCCCAAGGTACGAAGGAGCTGGACCTGCGCACGGCGCTCAGCGGTGGGCGGGGCGGCCGTTTTTGCCTTCGCGATGGAGGCAGAGCGACCACGCCGCGGCGAGAAGTTCAAGGGCTGTCGTCGCCGTTTGCGTCCAGGGTTGGGAAGGGCTGGACAGGTTTGCTTGGTGGTGGCGGCGAGGAAGTCTCCCAGGGTCCAGGAGCTGATGGAGCTGGCGCGCTGGCGAGATCGACGCAGGGTAACAGGCGGCGAGGCGAAGCGTGAGGCGCTGCCGAACTGGATCGCGTGGGGTGCAGGGGCTGGAGCGGGCGACGAAGGGCCTGGGTGGGTTGACGATGGTGGGCCTGGAGGGGGGGTGAGCCCATCAATGCCACCAGCCACGGGCTGGGGCCGCTGCAGAATGCGCCGGGGCGACTGGGCCGAAGAGGGGGCGCGGCCCAGCTCGGGCCTGTCGTTGGGGGCAGCAGGGGTTGGGAGCATGGCGGTTCGAGGTTCCCGCGCGCTCTCCCGCAGTGCGCAAGTGGGGCTGGGTCGCAGGTCAGCCGGGCCCGCGGCAGCAACAGGAGCTGACGAGGGCGAAGCCCCGCTTTGCCCCGACAGCGGATCATCCTCGGGGGCAGTTGGGCACTTCGCGGGAAGGGAATCTAGGACCTCACCGGTGGAGGACAGGCCGTCTTGATCCCCAAGCGCACATGGACCAGTCGTTGGTGGCCCTTCCCTGGTTGGGTTGTCCCCCTGCGCGCATGGTGACACGCGAGACAGGCTCAGCGCGGGCCCGGCAGCAGGAGGAACGCAGATTGGCACCAATGCGCTGGGGCCAGCTGGCGAGGTAGGCACCACCAGTGCTTGGGCGGGTGGCGCGGCCGGCCTCGGATCCACCGCAGCCACAGCTTTTGCGAGCGCAGCCAGAACCCTTGCACGCTTTTGCTTTCCTCCCCGCTTTCCTCTTTTGGCTCTGCGACGAGGGGGTGGGGCCCAGCCACTTTGGGCCATGCAGCCATGCATCTCGCAGACCCGTGTACGGACGGCGGCGCAAGCGAAGCGGTGGTGGCGCGGGATGCAGGCCAGCCGTGGGCAACCGCCAAGCCGTCGGCGCGCGAGCGACCATTTGGGCGCGTCCAGCCGGCCGAGTCGACAGCCATGCCATCCGCGCGTCCGTCAGGTGCGTTGGCCGTGCGGCGGGGCTTCCGGCCACGCCTTCGCTGGTGGCCACGCCCAGGGCCGTTGCCTGCATCATCGTTGGCATGGCCGTTGGCGCGGCCGTTGGCGATGCCGTCAGCTAGGCAGGGGAGGGGGGCAGACCTGATGAGTTGGACCGAGATGGGGTACTCGAAGGTGCGGGTGACTGGAGGCAGGCCAGGGCGGGCGGCGGGGACTTGCTCCACGATCTCTAGGATGGCCGCCCGGCGAATGGTGGCCGGGTCATGCACGCACCCATCAAGCCGGAACGTGGCAAGGTCAGCGCGGGAGCGTGTGTCCGGATGAAGCCGCTCAATCCAGCAGCCAGCCCCCAGGATGTGCTCGGCGGTGGACAGGTGCCATGCCTGCGCAGGGATGCCGCGGAGCTCAAGCTGTACAGAGTACGCGAAGCTGCCGGCAGTGGCGTGGGCGAGCTTGCACCATGGGCGAAGGAGCAGGGAGAAGTTGTCGGCGTTGATGAGATGGTCGCCGGCCATGCAGTCCATGGTTCGACGCGAAGAGAAGATGATGAGGAAATCTTCCGGGGCATGGCAGTGGACGATGAAGTCGTCGGGTTGCAGGTCGAACAAGGCGTGCAGGGTTGTCTCCACCTCGGCCAGGGAGACGAAAGGCCTGGTGCCGGTAACGGTGGCCACCATGCCGCGCGACAGCACCTCTTCCGCCTCCTCCATCTCAATGGAGCGGGGGATGGTGGCCCGTACCGGCGCGGCGGGGGGCGGCCGGGGCGTGGACGAAGGCGGGGTGCAGCGAGGCGGGGCGGCAGGTGCCGGGGCCTGGGCGGCCGGGGGCAGAGCGCGGCAGTCGCCAGCCAGCAGCGTCGTGCAGCCACTGGACTCGTGGCCGGAGATGAGACAGCGACGGCAACGCACAGGGTTGGTGCAGCCGCGCACCCGGTGTCCCGGGTCAAGGCAGCGAAGCAGAGCCCGGCGACTTCTTCCGGCGAGGGGATGCGTCTGCGGCGCGGAGGGGTTGGGGCGGCTGGGCGCCACGCGCCCTGGCGGCGGTTCCTGCAACGCGGCTGCTGGAATCCATCGGCGTCCAGCACTGGTCCGCCAGTGGCGCGGTGAACCTCCGAGCGGGGGCCGAGGCGGGCAGAAGCAGGGACGCGAGCGGCCGGCGCGGCCGAGCCGCAGGGCACAAGGGCCGTCGAAGCAGGGGCTGGGCTCGACGGCGCCGGCGCAGGGCTGCGCGGGGTCGGCGGGGTTCTCACGACGTCGCGGAAGGACCGTGAGCCGGAGGACTCACCCGCGTGCCCGTGCCAGCGATGGCGACCGTCGGGGCTGGAATCCTCGGAGCAGGCGCCGTCGGAGGACATGGCAGCCGGAGGCGCGGGAGGGCGACAGCAGGGGAGGAGGGCCGCCGGCGAGGGCTCTACGGCGGCGAGGTTGGTGGAGGGGCTAGGCTAGAGGCGCGGGAGGCGAGGGGAGGGGGTGGGAGCGGAGCGTAGCCATCATGCTAGGGATCAATTAAAATATCTGGAACCAGCATTATCTAACCTGTTTGGCCATATGCAAAGCATGTTGCTTTGGTCCTTTGGAAAATTATTGGTATAATGGGCTCCACAGTCTCCCGGTACACCTGCTCAAACAACCCAGCAACTTATATGCTAAGAATAACATGTTGAAAAAGAGAAAAGGAGACAGCCATTGATGATGGTTAGGAAAGTAGTACCTCGTCATTAGTTACAGCCTCATCCAGGACAGCATCAAAGCAGAATTCATGTTTGTCCACATAAGCCGTCAAATCCACCTTCCAGTGGAGACTTCGTGTTAGCCCAAATCACATGATAAGCTAAAAAGGCTTGTGATTGACAGTTTTATTATTGATAAGTATGCATGACAGTTCAGTGTTGCATCTTATACGGACATGCTTCTTTTTGTCAGCAAAATGAGGACACACTGCCAAGAAAATAGCAATACATGGAATAGTTTATCTCCAGCAATCCTGTTATGTAATACTCCTCTGCTCCAAAATATAAGGTGTATTTTTTTTTTCTTTCAAAAAGTCAAACTTCTCTAACTTTGTTTAAGTACCTGTTCAACAGGCCTCCGCTCCGCAGCTCAGCTCCTGGAGCGGCTGGAGTAGCTGCGGAGTGGCACTGAACGCGTTGGCTCCATGCTCTCCCAGAGCGGAGCGGAGCGTAGGCCATTTTTTCGAGTGGAGGCTTGCCAAACAGGCTCTAAGTTTATACAGAAATCATTAGATATGCCGTGAAATACATTTTCATATTTATTTATGTAGCATTGTAGATGTTGATATATGTTGCTATAAACTTGGTCAAACATAGAAACATGTGACTTTTGAAGAAACTAATACACCTTATATTCTGGAACAGAGGGAGTATAATTAACCCCCATAGGTGAGAATGTAGTTTTTGCCAGTCATACAGTTGTACATAGCAACAATTTTACATACATATAATGTTTTATAAACCCATAGAATATTCCAGACCCCACCTTGTGTGGGAGCTTTAAGCACTGGGTACGCCCTTTTATGTCTAAGATACTACTGACGGGGTGAAACTGTGAAAGGAAAGATAGTGCACCATTGCAGGATGTAGATAGACGCTGATAAGCACATAAAGGAATTCAAATGCCCAGAAGAAAGATTCTTTTGCATTAAATGATTTAAACTCTTCGTATAAATGTTGCATGAAAAAGATAGGTTGGATTATCTATAGGCTGTAAACGTACTTGTTGATGCACATCATAATTCATGGCCTAAATCATATTGGCATTAAAATAATATATAGTGTTTATGTATTGCAATAAATGTCATACTGCAAACAAGACTACAATAGGCATGATGGAAAACATGGAAGGAGTAAATGGATTGTCTCTCTTACTACATTTGCCTCTACTGTCTCTCTTACTACATTTGCCTCTACTGCATCACAAGACATCTACAAGTCCCATAGAAAGATGAAACACAAGAACCAAATAATTTCATCTATTGAACTATTGCAGACATAATGAAGAATACCAATGAATGGATGAAAGATGGTACCTTTAATTTAGGTTCATGAACAGTCAAGAATTGAGAATTATGTACATCTATTACGTCATCCTCCTTTCGAGATATTTCCTTTCTGTTCAGAGGCCTCTTCCTTACCTGACATTGTTACTAGTATTAACTGAATAATAGTTTCACTAACAATAAGAAACAAAGAAAAGACTGAATTGTGACTTCATTGCATAACTGTAGACATAGTAGAAGTACTTGGAAGTGATCAACGCACCACAACTTTAATCTTTGCTACATTACTTTCTTTAGTATTGCTATCTTTTTCGCTTGTGATTGCACCACCATAATTTTCTGATAGACCTTGCTGGCTTCCTGATATTATATCGTCCTCATCGTCATCAGTTTCCTTTGGCACAAAGGGTGAAGCTTCAAATGGTTCTGATGCTACATTCTGACAACAAAGAGACCATAGCTGGATTAGACCACGAAGAAGTTATTTTGAAGAGCAGAAATCAAGATTTGGACATCACATGTGTTTGAATCCCTTTGTCACATGCAACATCACCCTAGTTTCTAAAAGGAGCAGGCATGCACAATGAGCAGATGCCGATAATAACATGTGGGCATAGAAAGTTATTTTGCTTATACTAACTAGAGTAATACCTCAGAAAGAAGCTCACTGTCATCCATTGCATGAAGATCCAAAAGGCCAGCTCCGTATTCACCTCTAAGTTCGGGTGAGTAGAATCCATTTATGGGGGGGCCACCACTGAAGCTCTGGGTTGTCGGTGTGTATGGCTCAGATATAGGTGCAGATGCTGATTCGCCATTAAAATTCAGGCTCCTTAATAGCATGTAAAGTTTCTGTTTTTCTTCGATCGATTGGGGCCCATACCCCTATCAAATAAATAACAACTGTTGTAAAACTGTATATAATCACTTGGCAACAGCATGCATGTATTGATAAAGCGCTTATCGTTGAACAAGTCAGAAGTCCTACAAGGCTTTAACAGATTAGCAATATTAGACAAAGTGCCCTAAGTGCGAAATATGAACCGAACCACAAATAACAAACAAGGCCTCAACATGAGGACCTCACGCATATACTGTACATGGGTCACCCAAGCACAGGAGTAAGGTCAGACCTTTGCACTAGATGCCATAATCAAAAGTTGATATAATCATATCGACAATGCCACATACATGCCTATGTAGTACAGTAGGTGTTCCTTGAAATTCAAGACGAGAAATTTGACAGTTCAAAAGGGCATTTGATGCAACAAAAAAAAACAGCAGACACAATATTTTTCTGATTTTCTGACTAAGTAATATTTAATTGTTTGCATCATAATAGATCAAATTGCTGAGGTTTCAGCTTAATATACTTGGCATTCAAAGCAAACTGATGTGAATACCATTTAATATGGCAAAAAATGCATCCTCTAATTTGCATCCAAGATACAACAGATTTATGTGTGCACCAGCTCAAGATTATAAAAAAAATCACATCGCGAATCTATTTAAAACGAATAGAGTAATCTCCTAAAAGAGTGGGTGCTATTTTGTGTCCATTCAATCCATCCAGCTTACTTCTTCAAACTGAAGAGATATTCCACCATCCAGGTTAACAGTGTGCAGTTATAAACTAAACTTTCATGTAATGCAGGCAGTTAACAGTGTGCAGTTCTAAACTGAACTTCATGTAATGCAGGCAGTGGTTTCAAAACAGTATGCGGTAAGACACTACCTTCCAGCTAACTAGCAGAACTATCAACCTAACCATTAAGTCTGGCTGTGCCAACCTTCCTAACAGGACTAGAGACAGGCGTGCCAGCCATGTAATTTCACAAGGCGTGATAATCATGAGCATAGTTTTGACAGATTGATCCTTCAGGAACACAACCCCAACTTGCCAGGCTCAGAAACAGCAAATTTCCCACATATGACTCGAATATTTATACATCAGTCATGCAGCAATGTGGGCTTCAAAGCCAGCAATTCTTTTTTTTTCGCGAATACGCAAGCTGCGTATCTTTGCATTGATAGGAGAAGAGTTACAGCAAGGGATTACAACCACGCGCAAGTCATGTACACTAGAGGCATGATCGCGGGCGGTGGAGCAGACAGAACAAGGGGCTGCTCATCCCCCAAACACGCAAAAGGCTAACTCTCAGGTATGATGTTGCTAATCCCTGTGGCGCCGGCCTTGGCCCATAGGCGCGCCTCATCTTTGATGGCTGTGGTGAGACGGGAGAAGGATGGCCTATCGTGATCGAAGACACACCCATTGCGGCGTTTCCAAATCCACCAAGCAGTGAGGATGATGATGGAAGCGAGTCCTTTGCGAGTGGAGGTCGACGCTTGTTCTGTTGAGGTTGCCCACCAAGTCTGGAAGGGGGTGTTGCCATCAGGAAGGCTAGTAGGAGCTCTCACCCAGCCGAGAACCTCATGCCATATCAGCCTGGAGAAGGAGCAGCCCGCAAGGAGGTGCTGCATGGTCTCGGGCTCTTGGTCGCATATGGCACACATGTTGTCGTCGGAGAGGCCGTGTCAGGCTAGGCGTTCCGTCGTCCAGCAGCGCTCTTGCATCGCAAGCCACATGAAGAACTTGATGTGAAGAGGTGCCCATGGCTTCCACGTGAGTTTCCAGTGGCCATCACCGCAGGATCCGTAGAAAAGGGCCTGGTAGCAAGACCTGGCAGAGTAGAGGCCAGAGGCCGTCCATCTCCAGTTAAGGGTGTCGGGGGTGGCCGAGAGCTCAACATGCCTGACTTGTCGCCAAAGGTCGACGTACTGAAGCAAGGCCGCGGGGCCCAGTGCTCCCCTGATGTCTTGTACCCAGGACCTGAGGTGCATGGCCTCGCTGACGGTGCGAGATTTTCGTTGGCGTCGAGGTACTAGCGAGTGCACGAGGGGGGCGATCTCAGCCACAGATCTCTCGGCTATCTACTGGTCGCTCCAGAATTTGCAGCTGGCTCCGTTGCCTAGGTGCCAGGTGGTGGACGCCCTGAAGATGGCGGTGACGTCAGTGTCGTGCGGGTTGTGAAGGTGGCTCCAAGATCTCGAGGGGTCCGTGCGTTGCAGCCAAAGCCATCTCGTACGCAGAGCGATTCCGGCGCGGTATAGATCGCGGATGCCCAGCCTACCGAGGGAGATGGGTCTGGAAACCTTCTGCCAGTTGACGAGGCATTTCCGCCGCTTGCGTCTTTGCTTCCGGCCCAAAGGAAGCTCCGGATGATCAGATTGACCCGCTTGAGGATCGATTTGTTGAATGCAATGGCGATGAGGAAGTGTGTTGGGATCGCACATAGGACGTGGCGGACCAAGGCAAGCCGATCACCCTTCAAAAGAAGAGAAGCGCGCCAAGTGGAAAGCTTCTTCTCGAGCTTGTGGACCATCGGAAGAAGGCTCGAGGTAGGTGGCTTGCGGATGGAGAGCGGTAGCCCAAGGTATTGTATAGGGAAGTGCTTGATCGGGCATTGCATCTCAGACTTGATTGTGTCAATGTGGTCATTGCTGCACTGGATTGGCGTTGCGGAGCATTTGTCGAAGTTGGTGCGGAGCCCCGAGGCCACCCCAAACACCCGAAGAAGCTCGCGCACGGTGGCAATATCGTGGCTGTCGGGGTGGCAGAAAATGACGACGTCGTCCGCATAGAGTGAAATGCTCGAGGCCGCGTGGCGCGTCATGAGCCACTGGAGGAGGCCGATGTCGACCGCACGGAGGAGGAGCAAGTTCAGGACGTCGATGACAATGGTGAACAGCATGGGGGAGATAGGGTCGCCCTATCTGAGGCCGCAAGCATGGTCGATAGGTGGGCCAGGGTGGCCATTGATCATGACCCGTGTGGATGCGATGGAGAGAAGGATCGAGATCCAGTCTCACCAACAATGGCCGAAGCCGAGGTGTTGCAGGACCTGCAGCAGGAAAGGCCATGAAACGCAGTCGAAGGCCCGAGCAATGTCCAGCTTGAGAAGCATGCGAGGGGTCTTGAGGTTATGAAGAAGGCACGCAGTTTGCTGAACAAGGAGAAAGTTGTCGTGGATGCACAGTCCAGCGATGAACGCGCTTTCGTTCATGGAGATCATCGAGCTTAGCCTTGGAGCGAGACGCAAGGCGAGAACTTTGGCGAAAAGCTTGGAAATCAGGTGGATGAGACTGATGGGCCGGTAGTCCGAGAAAGAGGCCGCATCGGGCCTCTTGGGTAGCAGTGTGAGGAGGGCCTCGTTGAGCTTTTGGAAGCCGCGCCCGTTCATGGTGTAGAACTTGCCAAAAGCGTCGCAAATATCCTGCTTGATGATGTCCCAACAGGCACGTAAGAACTCAGGGGTGAAGCCGTCAGGGCCTGGCGCCTTCCCAGACGGTAGGCATTTCACGGCTCGCCATATTTCGTCATCGGAGAATGGGGCCTCCAAATCCACGAGGTCAAAGGAATTGACCTGCAGGTTGGTCAGATCCAGGGTGAAGTCGCGCCGAGCGTCGGTGCCAAGGATGTTGGTGAAGTGATTGTAGGCTGCTTCAGCCATGCCCTCATGGTCCGAGACCACCTGGTCACCCACGCGCACGGAGGCTATGTAGTTGCGCTGCTTGCCGTGCGAGGCATGCACCTTAAGCGTCGTCGCTGCGAAGCCAAGCCAAGCGCACGCGCTGTCGCGCAATCGTTCGTTCGAGGGAGGCAAGTCCGAGGTAGGAAGCCTTAAGCCTGCACCTTAGCCAGGCTTCGCCGGCGAATAGAGGTCGTAGGTCCTGGGTTGCGTCAAGACGCGCAATGATCTCACGTGCCACCATGAGCTGGAGGGACACGTTTCCAATGGTACGGGCACTCCAGCGTTGGAGGTGCCTAGCGGTGCTCTTGAGGCGGGAGGCGAGGCGCCGGAAGGGGTCGGGTTCTGATGGCACATCATTCCATCCCTCTTGGACGGCACCCTGGAAACCCTCCATTTTCAGCCACAAGCGTTCGAAGTGGAACCGCCTAACCCCGAGCGGGCGCGCAGCGCAGTCGATGACCAAGGGGCGGTGATCGGATGCGGCAGAAGTGAGGCAGTGCAGCAGACAGCTTGGGTGCTCAATTTCCCAACCGGAGGTGCAAAGAACACGGTCATTGTGCACAAGGGTAGGAGAGTCGCGCTCGCTCGACCACATGTAGCGGCGACCATGGAGTAGCTCCTCATCAACGATGAACCGCCTGAACCTGCTCATGACACGATGGTTAAGGTTCGAGTTATTTTTATCCGCCATGGAGGTGATCATGTTGAAGTCTCCTCCGATGAGCCAAGGACCGATGCGGGAAGCGCGCACGTCCTGTAGATCGACGAGAAGGTCGAGCTTTGCTTGGTCGTCCTATGGGCCATACACACCGGTTAACCACCAGTGGTTGGTGCTGTTCGGGGGGGTGACCAGCGCCGTAATGTGATGCTCGCCTATCAACGGGTTGGAAAGGGAGGTCTCCGATCGCCGCCAGGCAAGGAGAATGCCGCCGCGGGTGCCGGTTGCCGGCAGGAAGTAGTAGTCCTCAAACTGTGGGCCAAGAGTGTCGAGTACGATGGAGACCGAGATATGAGCCAATTTCGTCTCTTCGAGACAGACAATGGAAGGGGATGCGGTGGAGATCACACTGCGCACAGCCGAGCGTTTAGCACCGGAGTTTAAACCCCGCACGTTCCAAAAAACTATCTTGAGGTTACAATCCATGGGAAGGGTGGGGGGGGGCGTTGCAGACAAGGCAGCGAGTGTCTACGCCTCAACCAGGCGCGGCTAAGCCCGCTCGGGGCAGGCATCAAGGTTGGAGAAGCTCGGTACTTGCCATCCATATAAATCTGCAAAGGCTTCTATCATGTCCTAAGCGAGTGGTCGCTCGAAGATGCGGGCATATCTGCTCAGCATGTCGCTGGAGATGGGGGCGGCGTCACTCTCAATGAGCCCGAGGCGTCTGAGTAGCACTCGTTTAGCCTTCATTTCCGAGTCCAGTCCGCGGTCGGCCTTTGCAATCCTGAAGCTGCGCCTAGGAGTGAAATTTGGCAGAACCACGTTCCTGCGTCGGCGTGGAGGCGGGGTGGGGAGCACATGCTGGGGGTGGACGGAAATCACGTCCAAAAACGAAGCCAGAGGGGCTGCATGGTCCAATGCGCGCTGGTTGGGCTGCATGCCGACGTCGCAGTCCACAGCCAGGTGGGCGTCCTGAGCAGGGGCCAATGGGGCAGCCTGCATGTCCCCGGCAGGGCTGGACCCACCGCCGCGGGCGCCGAGCGGGGACTGCATGGCCCGGTCGTGGATGTCGACATTTCGGATGTCAGCGCGCAGGTTGGTGGCCAGCAGAGCGGGGCCAGGTGCTTGGCAGCTAGCGCCGACAGCAGATTGTGGGGAGGGCGGGGGATTCGAGGCTTCGGGATCCGAGGCTGTCTGCTGCGACGTGAGGTCATCTGAAGCCGCTGGGGAGGGGCTGTCATCTGCCCGTTGGGCGGGGGAGCCCGAGCAATCCTGGTTGGTCTCCTCAGAAGGTGGGACCAAAGAAGTGTCGCGCGGGTCGGGGCACGCGTCGACAGGGCTGGGGCTGGGTTGTGGACGGGGGGAGGCCACGTCGTCGGAATTTGAAATGGACAGGTCTTCGCGTTCACCTTCAGCCCGAAGCAGCAGCGTAGGCTCCGCCTGACGGTCAGCGGCAGGAGGGATGACAGCAGCGTCAGGGCCCGCACTGTCGAAAGGGGAAGGGGCACCCAATCCCAGCAAGGCAGGGACCCGATTGACGTCAGCGACCGCACCAGGGTGGGGGCCAAGAATGCCTTTCCATGAACGGCAGGGGGCGGTGCATGGGCGCGGCGGCGGTGGCGCCGGCGACCACCGCGGCGCCGGGATGGTTGCTGCGAGCTGGGACCCGCAGGCGGGAAGTCACGCACCGGCCACCGTGAAGGTAGGGGAGGGGAGTCCTGGTCTTGGCTCGCCGCATCACCGGACGAAGGTGGCAGGGACGGCGGTAGTCGGTGCACGTCGCAATGTGGATCCGGACGGGGAAGCGCGCAAGCCCTAACGCGAGGCGCTCCGCACGGTCAGGATCGGCGTCGAGGGCCACGGCATCGTCGTCCGGGATGAGGAGCTTGGCGATGCGCGGGATGTCGTCGGGGTTCGTCGTCCAGGCCGTGAGCCTGAAGGTCAACATGTCCGACATGCTCCTAGTGTCAGGCGCGAGATTCTCGACCTTGCAAAACGAGGAGAGGACGAACTCGGTGGAGGAGCGATGCCAGGCGTGGTCAAGGATCCCGTATAGCTCCAGGGAGAGGAGGAACAGGGCGCGCACCGGCTCCGAGCCCGTAGTCCTGCCCCAAGGATGGAGAAGCAGACGGAACCAAGGGGTGCGGACGGGAGTGGCGGCGACGCGGCCATGAATGGTGAGGGAGCGGAAGCGGATGAGGAAATCTTTCGGGGCATGGCGATGCACCGAGAAGTCACCATCGGCAAGCCCGAACTGGGCGCGCAGGGTGTCGGCGACCTCTTCTGGGGAGATGCCCGAGCGGCATCCAGCCACCGTTGTGACGAGCGCGCGCCCGAGAGCATGCTCGACGGCGATCATCTCCTCGGAGCAGGGAAGGTAGCAGATGGCCGCCGCCGGTCTGCGGGCGAGATGCCCGGAGAGAGGAGTGTTCCTGGAGGAGGAGGAGCTCGCCGGCAAAACGGGCCTGGAGGGCACGGACGACGGGAGGGTCGAGCTTGAGCGAAGGGGCGCTGCCGGCCCGGAGGACGCGGGAGTAGGCAAGTCGGAGCTGGAGCGCGTGGTGGCCGCCTGGTCGGAGGAAGAAGCCAGCGGCATCGTGGCTGCCGGCCTGGAGGACGCGGGCATTGGCAGGCCAGAGGGGGAGCGCGTGGTCGCCGCCGACCCGAAGAACGCGGGGCGACCAGCGGGGGGTGAGGGCGGGGCATGGTCTGAGCCGGCGGCGTGCGACTGCAGACGGCGGCGCTGCGGAGGAGGGACGAAGCCGCCCGACGAGGACGAGGCGTAGGAGAGTTGGGCGGTGCAGTCTTTGGCCTTGTGGCCAAAGAACCGGCAGCGCGCGCAGCAAATGTCGCACCGGCACTCGGAGCGGGGGTGCGCGGTGCTGAAGCAGCGAGGGCACTCGTCGGGGCGCAGCCAGGAGGGGCGCTGGCGCGGGAGCTCACCAGGGCCACGACGCGGGCGGCGGGGGGGCTGGCGCGGCCGCTTCCGGCCCCACGCCATCCCGCGGCGCCGACGCGTCCTCCGCAGGTCGGTAGATCTCGGACCGGATGGAAGGGCGGGCGGGCGACGGAGAGGGTGGCGGGCTGGGGGCCCGGGGGAGGCGGGCGGCGCCTGGGCAGCCGTCCAGCAGAGCGCCTGCCGGTAGGAGGTCGGCGGAGAGCCAGCCGACGACGGGCTCGACTCCATCCGGCGGACCTCGCGCGAGCGACCAACGTCCGAAGGGGGGGAGGCCATGGCTAGCGGTGGCCCCGCCGGCGTGGGAGCGATGGAGCGATGGAGCCGCCGATTCAGAGCCACCAGACCAAAAATGAGAGTCAAGCCAGCAATTCGTCGTTGTACAATACAACCGGCAACTCTCACTCAACTTGCATCGATCCCTGAATGTGGGCGACGAATAAACTCACTGGCTTCCGTCCATTTCTTCACCGACCCACAGAAATAGGAGTGACTTGAACGAAATACACGCGCGCTGGTATGGACACGCACAAGATCCGCGTGGCTAAGCTAGCGATCGTGCAATTGCAGGTGACAACCCGAACATATACAGCGTGGTATCAAAACGTGCGGAAGGACCACGCCTACTGGAAACGACGAATAGCTGGAGGCGATCAGAAGAGACGCACGAACCTGCATGAGAAGGTTCGGGAGGATACCGCCGCCGCGGAGGTCTCCGGCCATCCCCATCGCCAGCCCGGGCCCAGGAGCGGAGGAGGATACCGCGAGGTGCTGCAGCCCCGCGGACTGCAGCCACCGGGCCATCACCGCGTCCCCCGAGTCAGTCGCGGCAGACGACGCCGCGGCAGCTGTGGCGGCGGCCGCGCCACCGCCCCCGCCGACGCGCTGTGGCCGCTTCTGCGGAGCCAGCTTGGCGTCGCGCAAATCGCGGGGCGGCTACGAGAGAGCAGCGTGGGATCTGGAGCTTCTGCAACTGGAGCCCAGATCTGGTGGTGAGACGAGCAATGTGGGCGGGATTGGCGCGGGGTGGGGGGCAGGCAGGGTTTGGGACGAATCGGGATCGATGCTGATCGAATTTGTTGTGGGATACTGGGATTGCAGGGGAGGGGAGGGGATTTTGGGGGTGGATTGCAGGAGTTTGAAGCTGGTTCTCAAATAGTTTTCGTCGAGAGAGACGTTCTGAGTTGTGACGTTGTTGGTGCTGGTGAGGCAAGTTTGAAACGATAAAATGGGCAAGCTTCAGTCTACTGCCCCCTCGGTCCCATAAGATGTTTGCAAAAACGTCTCATATAATGAGACGGAGGGAGTAGTTCGTTGTAAGATGCATGTGCAATGTTTCTTTGACACAATACAGACACCGGCCCTCATCCAAAACAATAAGGTGTGCATTAAGGAGGGTTGTTCGCGCGTGCCACGTGGGCGGGGGCGTACTGTGCGGCGCAGCCAATGGAAGGAGCGGAGGTCTCGCGCTATCAGCATTGAGCCGTCGAGAGAGAGAAAAAAGGGGAAAGAGCGCCAGCCCCACGCCCCCACCAGCCCCAGATTCGTTCCACATCCCCCTATTCCTCTCCCTCTCCGTTTCCTTCCTACCGCCGCCACCACCTGCGACCTCCCCGCAGCCGCCGCGACCGCCGCCACCGCCTGCGACCTCCCCGCAGCCGCCGCGACCCCTGGGAACCCTCTCGCTGATGCCACGTCCTGACCTAGCGATTGGGTGAGAAAAAGTTGCCTTCGCATAGAAGCCAGCAAATCCCTTTCCCGAGGCGCCCTTCTCTCGTCCTTCCCCTATCGCACAGAGCGGCTACACAGAGAGAGACCCCCACCGCCGCTGCACACCACCATCGTCCTCCCCTCACCTAGGCCCCAGATCGAGCAGGCAACGCGGCGCTTGCAGACCCGCGACGGGCGGAGTTCTCGCGCCGCCGCCGGCTCCTATCCCGTGCGTCCAGCCCTACTTCGTGCACGGGGCGAAACAGTCGCCGCTGCCGGAGCGGCCCTCGGCAGCGAGGAGGCCCAGGTAGACATGGGGCTAGTCGCCAGTTCCCGATCCCGCGTGCTCCAGCCCCTGCTACGCGCACGCGACGAAACGGCCGCTGCTGTCGGAGTGTCCTTCGGCGGCGAGGAGGCCCAGGGAGACAGGCCGGCGGTGACGCTCGTACTCCTTCGCGCAGCCACTCCGACGACGGCCAGGTGATCCATTCCCCTCCCTATATTGTTCTCCTTTAGTGCTAGGTTTTCATGTTCCCATTGATTTGTGTGGGACTTTATCGCAGGATTGTTGCTGTCTCTGTTCCTTGAAATCCCATACATGCCCGCGTCCAATTTGTGCTCGTCGTCGCCTTCCTACAATAGCTACGGATCTGCAGGTATAGCCCTCCTTTCGTTTAATCCTCCTTTTGTTAACCCTCTTTTCTTTTCTCATTAATTAATATTTGTTTGGGCCATGTTCTGTTCTAAATGCTTGCTACTGATTGCTTGTGAATGGCGCTGGAGCTGGCCGACTAGACCCCTGGAGGTTGGAGGAGGCCTTGGGGAATGGGGATGATGAGCGGCCAGCTGTCGGCAAAACCCCACTGTCATCTCCCATATCCTGCCGTTGGCAATGTGGACCATGGAGAACGCGAGGAAGATTTGGTCTACCCAATGCGGCGATGAGGCGTCTGATGAACGAATAGTCTGTCTGGTCACCTTCGTTCAAGCTATGCATGTGCTCTCTTTTGTTTTCAACTCATGTGGTGATTTTCTGATGTCTTTCAAACTTCCAATTTTATAGATTGGAGGCTCTGCGGAAGAAGAACATGGAGAACACCTCTCTTCCTTTACATCTAAAATTGAATTTACAGGTGATCGATTCATGAAGTTCAAGTGTTTATCAAATTGAATGCAAGGGTGATTAGGATTTTACAGGATTATATTTGCTTATTGTCATAATATTTAAACTACTGATGATGTTCTAGAATGTTATTTGGTATTCCTTTCAGCTATGAAGTGGTTACTTTTAATGTGTTGTTGACAAAGGAACCTACCACTTTGATGATTTGGTATTAGAATGAAACAGACTTGCAATTTCAGTTTGCATCTAACTCTGATGCTTATGGTTTTGAAGTACATCTAATGCTTATGGTCTTGAAGTACGTATCACTGCACAGTTATTAACATATGACTCATACAAAACTTGATGAATTGCAGAGTTATAGTTTCATGATTTCATAATATACTTAATTCAAAAGTTTGGCCTCTATTTGACGAGCAGGTTGTCTTAGAAAATCGACAGCTGAAAGTGACTATTTCAATTCTTATAATCAAGAGCTACAAACTTCTTCTAGCTCCAAAACGAGGCAGGTAATGCAACTTATGCAAGTAAGTGGAGGATGCCCAAAAGATTCAGAAGGGTGTGATGACTGCTTTGAAAAGGCATCACTTCCTAACATAAGCGAAGAGGAGAAAAGGAAGATCCTTCACTTTGTGATTATTGGTAGTGGACCCACTGGGGTTGAATTTGGTGCAGAGCTGCATGTTTTTCTTATCGAAGATATGGTGAAGCTATATCCTGCAATTGAAGAATTTTTGAAGATAAGAATTATTCAGCAAGGAGAACATATATTGAATATGTAGGTCACTATTAACTTACCAGATAATGAGCATTCATCAATCCTGCAGTAATAGCTAAAAAACTATTATATGACAGCCGCTCATCACTAAGAATATGTTTTGGCATGAATAACAATCCTCCAGGGAAATTAATGTACTTAAAAGTCAGCTTCCATGCGCAGATAATGAGTTTGTACTGCTGGTTCACATATAGGAGACTAGAACATGCATGCTGCAGGTAGTGTGCTCCCAGCTAATCATCTCCTGGGATAATACTCAAATAGTGTCAGAGAAAATGAACAATTTGAACATTTATTATTATTAGGAAAACAGTTTAGTCATTAAAAGTGGAACATATATCCTGATCATTGATTTCTTACCAGGATACATTGAACAAAACCACCTTACCTCCATGCTCCAAACAATGCTAGCGTAGGATTAATTCTTACCAAATATTATTAGTAGTTTCTGGATTGTGGCAGATTCCTTCCTGATCTTCATCCATTTTGCTTTTCTTTTTAAGTGGATGTTCCTGACTTCTATGAAATTATCACGCTTACTGTAGACATTGCAATTTTATTGGGAATACGACATTTTGTTGATTTGACAAGGAAATTTTTCCTACTGTTTCAGTATCCATGCCTTTCGTTGTAGCGTCAGTAGATCTTCTCTTTTCTCCATGTTTACTATGAGATGATATATCTATTTCTATAAAGGATAGCTGTGTTTGCTGAAACAAAGTTCCAAAGAGATGACATCGAGTTGAGTATGGATTCAGAGTGATAAAGGTCTCTGGTGGAGGATCATTGGTGTCATATGGGATGGACGTTCGGTCTACTGGCATAGGTGCTCGTCCCTTGACTGGACTGGTGTGATGGAGCCATGGAGATGAAGTGTTTGTCAAATTTCTTGCAAGGGTCGCTACTTGCTTGCTGCCATAATATTTAAACAATTGTTGATTTTCTAAAATGTGTTTTCGGCATTAGTAGACTCACTTTTGATGTGTTGGTATTAGAATGAAACGTACTTACCATTTCAATTTGCATCTACAGTCTAATGCTTATGGTTTTGAAGTACACATCGCTGCATAGTTACTAACGTATGGTTCATATAGAACTTGATGAATTGCAGAGTTATAATTTCATGATCTCACAAGTTACTAAAATCAAAAGTTTGGCTTCTATTTGATGAGCAGGTTCTCTTAGAAAATCAACAACTGAAGGAGAATGTTTTAATTCCTATAATCAACGGTACAAAGTGGAAGTGGCTGCGAGCACACCACCGTCCGTGCACCTGTCCTTCCTCACTCCAACATCAGATGACCCATCGACCATGGCCATTGTCCCATGCGTGGCCAATAAATTTTACACTGCTGAGGGGAGCGACCAGCTCGTGGTTGTGGTGTCTGGTTGCTCCATCTGGGGTTTGGCGTTTTTTGAACAGGTGCACCACACCATCCACTGCCGATCAATGCCTCTCTTATTCGGATAGGATCATCTTTCGGTCTGGTCAGTTTCATATATTAAATTAGGCCCAAATCGAGTGGTTTCTCGAGGTCAGATGTGAGAAAATCGGATGAGAATTGGGGGTCTGGGCAGCACCTGGGTCTGTCATTGAGGCTTCTCTTTCTCTCGCGTTGCAGGTTGATTTGACTCCGCATAGCGTCTGCGTCCTCACCTCGCTCAAGGTATGTTTTTTTGCTCTTTCCTCCTGTAGTGGAAATTATGTTTAAATCGTGCCGCTTACTGTCCCACCTATTAACCTGCACAAGCCATAATGCTTTTGTATGTTATATGTTTTGCTTAATTGACATGTTGTGATGTGTTCATGTGGTTAGCATTTCATGAATCTGAGAACTTTGTTTTTTTAGAAGATTATCTGAGAACTTCGTTAGTTCATGCTAGTGGTCACTGCTTCAATGATCACCTATATCCAAAATCTTTTTGTCAGGATGTATAGTCATGCGCCTTGCAAAATTGTGCCAGTTTTTGCAAATATGTAAAATAGGTGTCACTGTATCAGATTATCTGTAATAGGGTCTCTATAGTTCTAAAATCCTAACCATTTTGTTGTGAAGTGCACATGTTTCCTGCAAGTGGTATCCTATATTGGATGTGCTTTGTACATGCGTATTTGTCATGTCGAACTGCTGCTGTTACTTATATAGACCTATTATTTTAGGTTAAAAATGTTGGCTTGGAGCCTATCCCTAA